TTTTTATGTTTTTTACACAGGCATATAAACATAACAAACAAACAAACAAACATACAAACAGACATTCATACAAACAAACATATATACATATAAACATAAGTTTTGCATTGGAGATATTTTATAAAAAAATATGTTTATATAAAAATAATAATAACATCATTTTTTCACACAAAAGTTTTGTTTAATTTTTTAAATTAAAATATATAGCGTTTTATGTATTTTTTGTATGTTTGTATTTAGATTTAGATTTTAATTTAGATTTACATTTTCAAACTTTGAACGTAAGTATGTATTTTTTGTATGTTTGTATTGCACATTTCGCATACAAACAAATTCGTTTTTGTATGTTTTTTTTTTATACAAATAGGTGTATACATAATGTATATATATAATATATATATGTATGGGTGTATATGTGTATTTATGATTGCAATCTTCCTACTGAAAGATGTTTCATAAAGATGATGATGACAGAGTTATTATAACGCCAGAGTTATGACAATGATGATGAGAGAGTGATGATGAGAGAGTAATGATGATAATGATAGAGTTATGATAATGATGATGATAATGAAAGATTCTTGATGATGATGATAATGATGATGACCACAGAGTGACGACGACGATGATGATGAAGAAGAATCTGTTGGATTTTTCAGCCTGAATGAAAGCTTCAGAAGGTTTTTCATCATAGCATACGCTTCCCTGAAAATTTCCATTAATATTAATATTTCAGTCAATATAATAATAATAATCATAATTACTATTCATTATTATCATTATTGTTACTTTTTAATATAGTTATAATATTTATTATTACGATTATTATGATTATATTTTTATTATCGACAGTATTGTAGTTTTTATAGTTATTTATAATTATATTATTTATCTACCGCTACTACTACTACTACTGCTACTGTTGCGGCTGTTGCGACTACTTGTACTACTACTGCTACTGGTACTACTGGTACTACTACTACTACTACTGCTATTACTGGTACTACTACTACCACTGCTACTAGTGATACTACTACTACTACTGCTGGTACTACTAATAATATTTATTCACTCATTTTTTAACATTTTTAATATTGGAAATATGAGAAGTGCAGAAATAAATAAGCATAGACAAAGCGAAAAAAGAATGAAAGGCATAAATATCAATGACTGCAGCGGCTATTAAGCATAAAAAATGCGCGCTATAAAAATAATAATTGATTGTTTGTCAGATTATCCAGAGGCTTGATAATCATTTGTTTTCATTTATCCAACTTTACGGAGTGAGCGTGCACACACACGCACACCAACACACATACACACATACACACACCAACACACATACACACACCAACACGCACCAACACGCAAACACACATCAAACAAACACAAATAATACGCACACACACACACGCACGCACACTCACCAAACAAACACACGCACACACGTACATACACATACACACGTACACACACACACACATACACACACCCACACAAAATACAAACACACACACACAAAAAAACACACACATACACGCACATACCACATATACTTGTTGTAGTTTTAATGTATTTTTAATTTATTTGTTTTTATTTTATTTATTTATATAATAAAACAAACAAATAATAAACTTAATTTTTGTTTTGAAGTAATATATAAAATGCTTTTACTTTTTATTTTGCATACCAGGTATTTTTTGTTTTTGTGAGTTGTGCCATTAATTTGGTTAATCCTGGGACAACTCTTAAAAATTTTATTTGGCATTTTGCTGTTGTTGTTGTTGGTGGTTTGTTGTTGTTTGTTTTGTTGGTTTTAATGTTTTGTTGTTGTTGTTGCGTTATTGTGGTTAATTTATTTTAGTTTGTGTAGTTTGTGCTGTTTTCCTTAATGTTTTTGTTGTTTTTGTTGTTGTTGTTTAGTTGTTTCAGATATTTTGTTGTCTTGTTGTTTGAATTAAGCCAGTTAATTGTCGTTGATGACGCTATGATGAATGCTAGAGATTCGCGAATAAAAAGACAGTTGCTCGTTCGTTTGCTGTTGTTGTTAATTTGTTATGTCATTAATAAAATTACGAATACGAAAAAAATGATAATGATGACGAAGATGATGACGACGAAGATGACGATGATGATGATGGTGAAGATAATGATGAAGATGATGACGAAATGGATGATGAGATGATGACGAAAAAAAATTAAAAAGATGATAAAAAAGATGATGATGAAGATGATGACAATGACGAGAAGAGTTCTCATTGGAAATGAGCGCTGTTGTTAAAGGTAATATCGAATATCGAGTTATGCATTATTTGCACAATGTAGTTGCTATTTGTACATCATCATCATCATCATCGTCATCATCATCATCATCATTACCATCATCATCATCATCATCGCCATCGTCATCGTCATCAGGAAAGCCTTCTCTTGATTTAATAGAGCTTGTTGAGCTGGCTGAGTACTGGATGAGGACCACCATGCTGATGGATGTGATTAC